AGACATATCGCCAAGCCACGTCGCGTTATGCATTGGCCTTGCCCAATGATGGTTCATCGTGCGAGCAGCCCAGCCCTAGTCGCGAAGCCATATTGATTATCGGTCTGACTGAGGAGCCGCCTGAAGATGGGGTGGTTGAGGGCAGCGATCGCGGAGGACGGAAAACGAGAGGATTGGTCAGTCAGCGGAAGGGTGACGAAGGCTTGCAAGTGTTGGTTGCGGGTCACGAAGGGCGGTTGGTGGCTGTCGCGGAATAAACCTCCCGGATGGGGAGTCGACGGCAGTCCTTTTGGATGATCTGGAAGCCTGATACAGTGGACGACGACGGCAGAGTGGAGGATGGTGGAGGTTGGCAGTCGGTGAGACGATGGTGGTCTCCGTGACTAGGTGGTCGAGCGATTTTTAAGAAGAAGACGTGAGATTGTGCGTGAGAGAGAAGGAAGAGGAGAGAGGAGAGAGGAGAGAGAGGAGTTGGGATGGGTCGGTGGGGTAGGGCCCTCTAGTAGTGAGTGGATGGTGGGTTGGTGTTGGAACTCTAGTAGTGAGTGGATGGTGGGTGGGTGTTGAAATGTCCATAATGCCATTAATAAGTGTAAAAATGTTGCTTGTTTTTTGTTGTTGGATGATCAAAATTTATGGTTAAGATGTATTCTTATTTTTTTCACTAAGCGTCATCTAACACTTTTATAACATGATAAATATATTTATTCAGTAATAGCAATCATTTATTAAAGTTATTAAAAAAAATTACTTTAAATGCAATGGAGAAATCTTAATCATCGTGAAATTTCATGTCATTTTTTAAATTGGAGGATTAGTTATTATATCTGCAACTAAATATTTTGAAAAACTTAATCGTCCATTCAGAAATTAATTGGCGAAAAAATGTTTCTTAAAACTATATCTACAAGTGAGTTCTGATTTTTATTTAATAGATGTAGTTTTGATGGGTTGATAACAAAATAGAAAAAAATATTAAAATAAAATATAATTAAATTTAGGAAAATAATTATTGGTAATCTTCAGAATTTCAATTTTGTAAATGAAATGTACGTAATGTTTATTGGAACTAATTTTTCAGATACGAGGAAATGATGGTATGCCTTGTTTTTAGGAAATTAATTCAAACAAATAATTTGCAATCACTACAAAGAAAATGATGAAATTACAACGGAAATATATTCAAATAGAATTCCAATGGCAATTGCAATGGATATTTTCAATGCTATTATATCTGTTGGAATTTTCCAATGGATTCTAACGAAAATTCCAACAAAAATATTCCGTTGGAATGAGTTTTCTATTAAAATTTTCGTTGGATTTTGACAATTCTAACAGTAGATTTTCCAACGGGGGTAAAAATAAAAATTCCAACGGAAATTGCATATTTCAACGAAAATTCTTAAGGTAAAAGCCCGTTAGAATGTAGCCGTCGAAATCATCAAATTTCATCTAAAATTCCAACGAGAAACACATTCCAATGGATATTTTCGTTGGAGTTTCCATTAGAATCGTCCAAGGAAAGCTATACCATTGGAATATCCGTTGGAATTTCCATTGGAATAAATTACCATAAGATTTTCCGTTGGAATATAAAAAAAATTTTGTAGTGAATTCTTATCTATAAAAAGTCATTCAAATAGTCCATAATTTTAAATTTCAAAAGAAAATTACATTTTTAGAAGGCGGATAATTCGAATTTTTTTTTTTTTTTTAAAAAAAATCTTGAATTAGTGAAAATAAAAATATGGACCAAAATTTTCTAAATAGTTAACCTTTTCATATATTAATAATTATGTTCAGTCAATCAACCATCCCCTACTAACTACTTTTGATGATCAATTAGCTATCCAGTATCTGAGTTAAGTGGCCAATTCTGTCTGGGGATTATATTGGTGGTCTTGAAACCAACTATCACCTTTTCTGAAGATTTGAGTGTTTGATGATATTAGAGCATATTTTCTACCAATATGAGCTCGATCCACTGATTGGAGTGTTTGATGATATTAGAGCACTCCTCATTTCTCTTAATTGTGGCCGATGCAGTTATTTACCAAAAGAACAAAATGGGGTGGCCCACAACATAGCGAAATGGAAGGTTGATTCGAAATCATCCCATGTTTGGAGTGATTATCTCCATATTTTCTTTCCTTCTTTCTTTGATGTAGTGCCTAACTCGATTATTATCTGATTGTATTGATCGAGTTTATAAAAAAAAAAAAGAAAAAAAAAATTAATCATACGATGTGTGGGCGTATCTTGGAGATATGATTTTATCTAATCTACCGATGAATATTTCTTATTTAATCCCACCTGCCTAGTTTTAAAATTAATTTTTGGGCAACTACTCATTTAGTTTTTAGTTACCAAATGAAATCAGGTGGAGATACGTTTATTGCTAAAATTTTGTTGCGTTGGGCTCAGTGATAATTTTGTAGAAGGCTCGTACAACTCTAGAGGCTTGCAATGCAATTACTGTGAACTATAAGGAGTATTATTGGAGATATGTGTACGTATCTATAGAGTATATTATTGGAGATGTGTGTATTTTAATTTTTAAATGATAGATATTTTCCAGATTTATTCAAAAAACGATAGATATAAACATATCTAGACAAACATAATTTTTCAATCAATATGCGTATTTTTAAATTTAAATGCCATATGTAAAATACAATAAAAACAAATGTATGATGTCATCGTATAAACATGCCTTGTTATAATATATTTTGGATTCCTTTATGTGCATACGTGACAAGATTTTCTGACTTTATAAATCACATTATCATTAAAATTAACAAAATCTATCCTTACAAATTATTTATGTCATCAACAAATTATGTGAACCTAGCATTATTCGTTATCCTTTTCCATTTGTTTTTTCGTGGAATTTCCCAAATAGTCTCGTCTCCTTCTTACATGATAAATTTCGCAAATAGTCTCTTTCTCAGATCATGATTGTTTGTAGCCCAGATTAAGTTTCAAAACAGGCTAGGAATGTTGGGCCAGCCCAGCTGCATTTCTCCAAGGGGTAAAGGGTAGGTTCGAGGTGCGGTGAGCCACCAAGTGATGAGTGTGAACTGCTGATTTATTAATAATCCAATTGATTATTAAATATAGTAGTGTGAGCAAAGACGAGAAGTAAACAATCCAAGGGTGTAATTGTGGCATTTGTTAAAACAAGTCATAGAGTAGAGTAAAAATAAAATATTATTTTTTTTATAGGTTGTAGAAGTGTGATTAGAACAAATATATAAAGGTTATAAGGTATAAAATCATATCAAACCAAATATCTAATTACTAAAGATAACTACATAAAATAACTACCAAAGATATCTTAACACCTCCCTCAAGTTGGTGCATGAAAATTCCGAATGTCCAACATGTCGAGAAAATGTGAGAAATCATGTCCACTCAAAACGTTAATGAAAATATCTGTCAACTGTGCTTTGGTTGAAACAAAATCAGGAGCAATAAGGCCCTTCAATAAAGCGTCACGAAAGTGACAATCAATCTCGATATATTTAGTACACTCATGAAATATTGTACTTGAGGCAATATATAAGGCGACCTTGTTGTCACAAAAAATAAAAAAAAAAAAAAAAAAAAAAAAAAAAAAAAGAAAAAAGAAGGATGAGATGAGGATGATCAACACCGAAAAATCCTAACAGGGATTTCAATCACGTCAGTTCACAAGTAGTTGAAGCCATGGAGCGGTATTCTGCATCCGCCGAAGATCGAGAGACAGTAGGTTGTTTCTTCGTCTTTCAGAAGATAGGAGACGATCCTAGTTGGATAATCCAACCAATAAGAGAACAACGAGTAAGTGAACAACCTGACAAATCAGTGTCACATCAAGTAGTAAGGCGTAAATCAGAATCTGTGGGGAAAAAAATACCCTGACCAGGACTACCTTTCAAATAGCGCACTACCAGAAGAGCAGCATCCCAATGAGGCTGAAGAGGGTTTTACATATACTGAGGTAAAACATGAACAGAATAAGACAAGTTCGGATGAGTAACAACAAGATAAATGAGTCGGCCATCCAAACGCCTGTAGTGGAGGACCATTAATAAGTAGAAGCTAATGATTTTGTTCGAGTCGTACAACCAGAAGAGCGGATCGCAATGAGGCTGAAGAGGGTTTGTTCAGAAACTAAGATAAAATATAAAGTGATTAAGACAAGTCCGAACGAGGGACAACAACATAAATGAGTTTGCCAACCAAATGTATGTACTTCTCTTGATCGGAAGTGGAGGACCAGTAACAAGCGGAAACTGGTGATTTTTTTCAATTGGAAAGGGGGTCGGCTTAGCCCCTAGAAAATCAATCTCGGACAAGATATCAAGAGCATACTTTCGTTAGCACTAAAAAATGCCAGAGTAATTGTGAGCCATCTCCAAACCAGAGAAATATTCATAAGTTTTAGATCCTTCATATGAAAACATCGGCTTAAATAAGCCTTGAAGAAAGAGATAGCAACACCGTTATTCCCAGAGATGGACCGACCCGGGTCTGGGACTGTCTAAAAATATAAAATAAAATTAAAAAATAAAACAAAATCTGAGTCGGCCCCAGACTCGTGGTTAACGGGCTTGACCGTGCCAGTTCGGTGGGTCGGGCAGCCCGTGGCCACCTCTAGCACAAAGGCACACTGGTAGGGTCACAACCCTAAATAATTTGTGATCACCTTCTTAATAAATTGAAAAAACCATTCTTCAACACCCACAATCCATGAGGTGGAAATGAATTCATAGGTATACGATTTATTACCTCTTTTGATGCAATGTTATACATATAGAATGAAGGCCCTTCCACTTAGAGGAAAAATATATCAACCACAAACCAATGTACAAGACTTGAACAGATAAATTTATTTTTAGATATAAAGACATCAAAAGCTCAAATCAATGCTCACTGGCATCACAGTTCCAATGGATGATAATCATGTTTATTTACATTACAAAAACACTCAATGGTTTACACTCTATGTTATTCACCAATCACCAACCCGTTCAATCCACTCTACTCATGAATGGACAAAAAACAAAAAAAAAGAATGAAAACATAAAAGCCAGTTGTGAGTTGTAACATATATAAGACCAAAATGCTTATACATGAAATTGATTATCATCGTTCGCCTTGGAAATTAACTGCCGTGAGGGCGAAAATAATTAAAGCCTAATAAAAAAATTCGATATTCACACTCTTCTCATTTTCATGATCATCCATTGCTTTATGCCTGAGTAGCAAGAAGAAAATTGAATTATACAATAATAAATGAAAAAAAAAAAAGATCAATGCCCATAAAATTATCAAATTCTTATAAGCCAAGATTTTGGTATTACCTCACAGTCACCTCCTTGAAGACACAAAGAAGCACTAATGCTGGCACTCTTCAACATACACCGACTTGAATTTCTATGCACGTTTTGTTTTCCCTTCAAATTATGGACACTCGTAATTATAACAACATCTGATTGTTTCTTTGGATACGGAATAAGGCTTGGGCGCCGAATATCAATCATTTTGTCATTTTTCCGTTCGTTAGAAACCTCATCTATAGAGGAACACACGCGTTCTCTGCTTGTATATACAAAAAAGTATATACTTTTTATTATTTTCGAAATTGAGCAAATTAAAAACCCAAAGATATTACTATTATATAATAGTACTTAATTCATCAAAAATAACCACAACATTATTGCTAAGTAACCTTGGGAATGAGAAATAACGCCTGAGCCAAGGATTTCGGTCGTCTTCTTGTAAGTGGACAAATTGTTGCTTAAAATGGTCGAGTCCACTGTAAATGTAATGACAAATTGAATAATCAAATAATGTTTGAAAAATGTTAGCATTGAATGTAATTTAGTGAAAAACTGTGAATTAAAATTCAAATTTTTCAGACCTTGGGTACATAAAGTGAGCCTCGTCCGCACCATAAACGTACTCCTCGCGCATTCGTGGATGATACTCCAATATCTATTTTTTCTTACTTTGTTAGTAATTAACAGCTAATGTTATAACAATTGTACAAAGTATCATTAAAAAATAAACCTCTCTGTATATGAGTTCCCTCATGTCATCTTTAGTTAACTTCTTCTTATCAAACAAGAAATCGAATTTCGAAATCTGTTTGCTCGAGGGCTCGTCCTTTATGTTAGCCAGCCCATAGAAGTACGGATCAGCCAATGCCTATTATGGAGACAAATTAATTTTTCGGTAATATTAATTAATAGAAATACACTTTGGATTAAGTGAAATGGTATTTTGTTGTTGCTTTACTTCTTCAGCCGAAGGACGGTCTTTGGGGTCAAAAGCAAGTAGACGCTCGAGCAAACGGATGGCCTTTGGGTCGATATTTGGGAACTTTTGAGACAGAGGTATTGGCATTTTTGTTCTCATGCTACTCAAAAATCTTCTTGCTTTTTCGTTTCGAATCTGCAAGAAAGTAGCTAATGAGTTTTGGTTTTAAAATTAACTGAATTATAGTAATGTGATCAGTTGGGTGTTTATAAGTGCAAGTTTGTTATGTTGTGATGAGAAGAAACAAACCCTTGAAATTGTTTCTGAATTAGGCGAACCAAGAAGATCGGTTATGAGGTCCAATTGATGAATCGCGTTTTTGCCGGGAAATAATGGTTTGCCGATTAGTATCTCTGCAAATATGCACCCTATGCTCCAAATATCAGTTGCAGGGGTATACTAAAACAAATGAAC